GCCTGCCTTCCCAAGTGGTCCCCCTGCCCGGGAAGATGAAAGGCCCTCTTCACCTCAGCCAGTGCTCCTGGTTCTGCTTTCACACTAATGGAAAATAACTTAAAGATGGGAAAGAAACTGAGTTTCACAGGCTGACTTTGAGCTAGCACAATGCATTTCCCACAGGGGCTTTTTCAGCTCTCACGTGGTCTTTGTTTCCATTTGAAAAAGCCACCTAGTACTCAAATTTCTTTAATTAAAATAAATTTTACTGGTTCATATCTACCCAGTCATTATAGAATATAAGGAACCAACTTATATCATGGCATATTAGTTTTAGATGTGGGAGTCAGGTTGCCTAGCTTCAAATCCCAGCTATCTCCCTTACTAGCTGTGCAATCTTGAGCAAGTTACTTAACCTTTCTGTGCCCTGTTTCCTCACCTATAAAATGAGAAATAATATTCTTTCCATAAAATGGGAAATAATATAATTGTCTATTTCAAAGGGTTGTTGTAAATATTAAATAAGTAAATATGTGTAAAATATTCTGTAAGTGTAAGCTATTATTATTTTATATTTTCCTTTTACTAACATAGTGACAGATATAGATAGGGTTCTTGATGACATTTAATGCCTCCCAGATTAAAAACCATATAAAATTATTTGACATCTACTAACTAATTAGTATTGACTATTAGTTTTGTCGGAATGTTTTGTCCCCCCAAAGTTGATGGTATTAAGAGGTGGGGCCTTTGGGAGGTAATTAATTATAAAGATGGAGCCCTCAGGAATGGGATTAGTGCCTTATAAAAAAGACCCCAGAGAGATCCCTAGCTCCTCCCAGCATGTGAGGACACAGCAGGACTTCAGCAGTCTGCAGCCTGGAAGAGGGCCCTCACCCACCTTCCAGCACTCTGATCTTGGACTTCCAGCCTCTAGAACTGTGAGAAATAAATTTCTGTTGTTTATAAGCTACCCAGGCTGTGCTATTTTGTTATAGCAGCCCCAGTGGGTTAAGGCAACCATTTTGACAGTTAACTAAACACTTTTCACCTCCACCGCAAATGTTCAATCAACTCGGTTTCTGGCCATCCATTAGCTAGGGTTCAGGGCTGCAAGGCTAGTTTCGTTATAAATGAAGATATGATGTTCTTGCCAAATGAGAGTCAGATGATACATCTCTCAGGTAACATGCAGTCAACAATATTTAAGTGATTCTCATGGAATTATGTGCTGTTACCACAAATAAGCTTTTATTGGGTGATGCTTGAGTGCTGGGCATTGAGCCAGATAGAGGGCCACGACAAAGTCCTTCACAATGAGTTTAAGAACTAATTCGAAAGACAGGATATATTCATCAAGGGATAAAAACAAATGGCAACAGAAGGTCACCAGAAGAATAAGTGGAGCAGATAATCATGCTCTAGCAATTCAAAAGAACAGAGATTATCCTGGGTTGGGGCAGCTAGACAAATTTTAATATAAAAAAAAATTAGAACTCAAGTGAGGTCTTGAGGATAAAGGAGAAATTTAAGCAAGCAGAAAAAAGAGAGGAGAAGGCATTTCGGTGATCAAAGAGCTAGAAGTGTTTATGGCATCACTGGAGAATGACCAGGTTAGTTAGCTGGGTCAGGGTGTCATAACCCTTCATCAAGGGTGATTCTCCAATTTCATGGAATACAATATGTGTTTTTAAATTTAATCCAAATTTATAATCATTGAAAAATTCTGTATTTCCTCATGCAGCACACTACCTCTCACACCAATGTGATTAACCAATATAATGGAGCAGTTCCCTCAGATGCTACACTTTAACCTTCTCCTTTCCAACTATTTTCTCATTCGTCAGTTCACACAACCAGACTAATGTTGGGGAAAGCTGCAAGGGAGACTTAAGCCAGCTACTAGGACTACATTGAAATTGCCCTTGAAAAGGGCTGAGAAAGTGAAAAAGCTAAGAGGAAAATTAGTAGAATATACATTTCTATTGCCCATGCTACTCCCCTTCATTCTACTCTGTACCAAATCAGAAAAGCAGAACACTGAGAGCTAGAATGAAGTATAGAGACTATTTTGTACAATGCTTTAACTTTACAGTTGAAGATAGTCAAGATCTCATAAGGAGCGGCAAAATCAGAACTAGAACTCAGGACTGGAAGTCACAACCTGGTCTCTTGACTATCTCTATGCCAGATTAGTGGGAAGAATCTTGTATACGAAGACCGGCCATGGAAACGAGGAGGAAGTCAATGGGCAGGGTCAGTATGGGATGGGCTAATGACTGGATGGCCTTCTGTGATAGAAGAGGAGTTCAGAGAGTTTGGGAGCCTGGAAGAGTGGAAAAGCCGTGGTGTTGGGGCCAAAAAAAAAAGGGCACCAAGATCAAAATCTTAGAGATGTGGGAATCTGGGAATCTGAGGTCCCTTGACATGTCTTAGAGATCTATGATTAGAGTAAGAAGTACAATGACACTCCCTATGAATTCCAATTCAACTGGTAAAATTACACTTTTTAGTACCAGAAATGGATCTCAAGAAGTATTTCCTTGAATCTTAAAGACTCTACTATACTTTCAATACTTTAAGCTTTCTGTATTTCTTCCCAACTGATCCTCCAATTATTGCCATTAGGAACCCTGATCAGTAGAATGTAAGAAGGTTCAGCATTCAAAATACAATGGTAGATCATATAAAGATATGATAGATATGATGCTTATTTACATTTATCTTGATAATCAGTAAATCAATGCTGATTCTAACAGTTATTTCTAGTTGGTAGATGACTTCTGCAAACTTGATTTTAGTTTAACTCTCTAGTTTAACTATAACCTTTTGAAAAAAATTTCCTACGTCTACTTCTCCCAAGAATATTTTTCCCTTCACAGATAATCTTGTTGCCCACTCAGCAAAACTGACACATGAATAATATTGGCGCTGAGACCTGTCTTATTGAATATTTTACAAATGATAATGATGAGGAGGTGGGAGTACAGTACCATTTGTGAGCCTGAAGATAAAAGTTGTCTTGTAGATAAACGAATTCCATGCAGATAGGGATAAATCCCAACAAGATATAACAAGGCTATGTCAGTGGATAAAGTGACAAAATAGTTTTAATAGGGGAAAATGTAAGAATATTCATTAAGGGTCAAATAAAAAACTTGTAAGATTTATAAATTGTGATTTGCAAGAAGGTAGCTAGAAAATTATCTAAAGTACATTGAAGACTATTTATAGTAAGGATGAATATTGGACATAAAACCTTATCAATGCCTCATTGACAAAATACTATAGCGTCACTTGAACTGGTTTCTGCACTTCTTGTCATTGTACCTCCAGAAAGAGAGAGTCAACTTGGAAAAGCCTTGCAATCTTACTCATCATTGTATCTCCAAAGTTCTTGGCACATAATGGTTTCTCAAAAAATGTTTTGGGGTTTGCCCTGTGGCCAAGTGGTTAAGTTCGTGTGCTCTGCTTCAGTGGCCCAGGGTTTTGCTGGTTCAAATCCTGGGCATGGACATGGCACTGTTCATCAGGCCATGCTGAGGCAGCATCATACATAGCATGACCAGAGGTACTCACAACTAGAATATACAACTACGTACTGTGGGGCTTTGGGGAGAAGAATAAGAAAAAAAGAGAAGATTGGAAACAGATGTTAGCTCAGGTGCCAATTGAAAAAAATTTTTAAAACATTTAAAAAAAAGTTTTGTAAAATGAATCATTAGAAGATCCAATATGATCAATTAGAATAATGGGATGGTATAAGTAAAGATATAGTTGCAGATTTGAAAAGATTAGTCTGAAAGTTAGAGGCTGAGATAGGAATAAAACCTACAGAATGAATGGACAGACTTTCCCTCCTGCCTCCCAGAAAATTCAGTATATAATAAATATGTGGTATCCTTTGAAATTTAAGAGATAAATATAAATCAAATAAAAAGGATTTACAAAGCAAACAGTAAATTTACATATCTCATTACTTTACAAAATAGATGTGTTGAAAACGTATATGAAATTTTTAAAAAGGGTTTAACATAATCTAAAAATATACATTAAAGGAAATATGAATGTTTAAGTTTCCTAAATTTCTGAGACTGATATAAAGAAGAGAAATTAAACTCCAGTTCTCTCAAAACATAAAATATGTGTAGTGTAAAGAACAGTAAACTTGGAATCAGAATAGCTGTACTCAAATTTCGTTCTGCCACCTACTAGCTCTATGACCTTGCACAAGTCACAATCCCTCTAAATCTCATTTTCCTCATCTGTGAAATGGGAATAATAAGATCTCCCTTGTGGAATTGTTGAATAATGAATATGATAATGTAGTTGAAAGTATATTAAGCACAAATCGATATTCACAGGCAAGATATGAAATAATTCCTTCATACCACTAAGACATAGAATATTGGGATGACCCAATGTGACATCAATGGTTCTACAATTCAATTTCTGAAGTTTCTATTTATCAAGCTTCCAGTTGACAGTCCGTTAGAAACATACTCATTTTATGACACTAGGAATCTCTGCCACGGGTACTTTAGTACAAACATCTACCTTTTATTCTTAGAAGGCAGGGCTAGGTGGGAAGGTAGTGGGGAAAGGTGGAGATTCCAATGACCTTTTAAAACTTCCTGAGGAGATGACAAGTTCTGAAACCTGGCAACCTTTGCCATTTCCCTGGCATGCGCAGATACAAGGCGTGGTAAAAAGATTATGGAATAAAAACCTCATTTTCAGAAACTAAGGCAGAGCTGCCAGGATCCTGGTGCCTGAGCAGCGGCTACTCAGAAGTCCTGGCTTCTGGAGAGATGCAACACAGCAGTAGGATTTTTTTTCTTAAAGACTACGTTAAAACTATATTATCAAATGGTAAAAAGGAGAAGTCCATATTTTAATAAATTCAGGATTACCAACCCCCACGGAACCCCATTCAAACAGCCATAAGGGTCTTTAGGAATCTGGCTTTGTGAAAAACAACCAAACAAATGAAAACAGATTTGCTGTAAACTACTTACTGGTTTCCCAGAGAAAGAATGCAAACTGATTCCTGATAACATCACTTCTCTCCTCAAAATCCTTCAGAGCACTGGTTCTCAACCTTGGCTGACATAAGAATCACCTGGGAAGCTTTCAAAAGTCCTGATGCTTAGGCTCCATTCCAGAACAACTAGATTAGAATCTCTGGGGGTGGAACCCAGGCATTGGTTATTTTAAGGCTCCTCAGATGATTCCAATGGCAACCAAGGTTGAAAACCACTACTGAATAGCGTTCTGTTCCCAGCTGAGTCAAATCCATGCTCCTTAGCTTGGCACATCTTCATCCCCATCTATGTTTTCAGCCTTATTTCCTACACTCCCAATGCCTAGCCTAACCAGTCTGTTCGGCTCATGCGTTGTTTACCTGCTGCTGATGTAGATCCCTGTGTTGACTTCCATTTGTCTTACCTCTACTCATTCATATTAAATTCATTTTTCAATATCCATTCAATTTCCTGATTTTCACCCAGTGTGATGATTTTAAAACATGCCCACAAATTCTTTGACACTACTCCTACAAAAGGTGGAGTCTAATTCCCTTCCCTTTAAATATGGGACAGCCTTAGTCAATTGATTCTAACAAACAGAACGTGGCAGAAATGAATTTGAAGTAAAGCTGGGTTCAAAAAGGCCGTACAGCTTCTACCTGCTGCTCTCTCAAGACACAGGCCATGAGGGAGAGACCAGGTGGAGAGACCACAAAACATAGGGACGCCTGAGGAGCCCCAGCTATTCCAGCTCACCAGTCCTTTGAGTCTATACAGCATCAGCTCCCAGACAAGAAAACAAATGAGCCTTCAGATGATTCCAGCCCCCAAGATTCAGGTCATCAGCTGAGGCCCCAGACATCACGAAGCAGAGACAAACTGTCCCTGCTGTGCCCTGTCCTAATTCCTGAACCACAGAATAATAAATAGGTATTTAACACTGCTGAGGCTTGGGATAACTTGTTAGCAACCGTAATAACTGAAACTCGCTTTTCTAGCCACTTTTTATCTCTGTCTCATATATGACACAACATATTCTTTTACAACTTTTTTACTAAATGTGTTGTATCTCCCATCCTAGATTGCTAGGTCTTTGATGGCAGAACCCATAGTTGATTGATTTTTGTATCTTCCACAATGCCTTGCTCTAAAATGCGCTCAAAATTTGAGTGAATTTGTAACTTCTAGCATAGTCAAGAATTAGCCTTATTAAGGTATCGTTCTGCTTTTGTCTGGTTCCAAATTCCTGGCTGTAATTGTCAGTTGTGTTCGTCTGGTTTAATTAAATTAAAGGCCTTATAATACATCAAGACAATACAAAGACAACGAAAGGAAATGTTGAGAATAACTCAATGTATAAACCCGAATGATAGCAGCACATGGACATGTTACAAATAAAATACAATAATGTATACATGTAAATACAAATAATACGCATTATGGGTCTGGCATTAACTTTTTAAATCTTTGCTCTCTAGGGGACTGATGCATTCTTAGCTCTGTGGCAAAGGGGAATGTTTCTGACCTTGTCTGGTCTGCATCCTCTTCTTGGATTGGATGTGTACCTCTGTGCATGGTGTTTATGTCCCACTTCATCTGTGCTGGCATGTCAGTTCCTCATGAAGTTTTTTGTCAAATGCAAACAACTGTCTGTTTTAAAAGGCAGTATGACATGACAGGAAAAGCCTGGACAGCCTGGGTTGAAATCCTGTGTTGAAGTTCCAGTTGGCTGATCTGTCTCAGGTGAACACCTTCACATTTATGATACTCAATCTCCTTGACTGCAAGAGGCAGAGGGGAGTACTTACCTTACAGGATTGTTAAGAGAAATGAAAAGATCAAATACTTACAGTGAATAGGCAGTGACTAGCACTCAGTAGGCATTCAAAATCATTAGGTATCTTATCAATTCCCTTAGATTTTCAAGGAAAATTTACTTAGGATTAGAATTTTTGTGAACTTTATGTATAAGGAAGTTCACTTTTCTCCAACATGCTCTACCAAATGGTGGCTAGAGCTGCAACTTAGGAAAGGCTTTGGTCTCTCTCACTGTCTCGCTTTCTGTCTCTCTCTTTCCTGTAATCTCCTTCCCTTTCTCCCTCTCTGATCTGCTAGACTCATGCTAAGATGAACTAAAACAAAGTATTATTTCAGTTTCTGATATGTTGCTATAAAGAGAGAAGTTTTGAGGTAGGATGTAATCTAAAAAGTGCTACTCTATTGAGCCCTTTGACTCCGTGATATTTCCGATGTTATAATTCTAAGCATTACCTTGGCTGTAGTACTCAGAGCAGAAATTAGCTATATAACAATTTTATTACTTCTATGAATAGATTACAAATCAATTTTTTAAAGTACAGGCCCAGAGATCAGTGCCAGCCCTCTCCCTAACCCTTTTTCTTCACTTAGAGATGTCATGTCTGCCTGGTTTTCCTCCCCTCTCATCCATTAATTCATAAAGTCTGATCGATTGTTCCAGTGAAATACTTCTTAAATAATCCCATTCTTCGCAACCCTGCTACCATTATTTCAGTGCATCTCAAACTTTAGTATGAACTTGAGTCACTGGGTGAACTTATTAAAATGCAGAATCTGACTCAGTAGGTCTGGCGTGGCCCCAAGATTCTGCATTTCTATCAAGCTCCTGGGTGATGTAGATGGTGCTGTTGGTCCAGGACCATATTTGGGTTACTAAGATCTAGATTACAGCAATAGCCTCAATCCTGGGCTCCCTGCCTCCACTCTTGTCTGTATCATTCTTGGTGATAATACCAAAGTAAGAAATTTAAAATACAAGCTTGGTCACATCTCTTTCTTACCCCCACTCCCAGCCCCACTCATCCTACCATTCTTTTTAATGGACTCTTGTAACTGTTAGGATGAAGTCCCAGATCCTTAAAAGGCTTCCTAAGATTCCATTCCTCCTTGCCTTTCCAGCCTCATTTCTCTCTATTCCTTCATTCAACATATATTTGAAAAGTGCTGCTATGACACTCAGTTCCTACTTCCTACAGCCAAGAGCTTGCAATGCCCCCGGCAGATCTCTCTTACTTCTAAAATTTTTCAGGTGCTGCTCCCTCTGCTTTGAACATGATCTCTGTCCCCAGCTTCTTTGGCTAGAGGCTCCTCATCATTCAGGACCAGACTTGGGATCACTTCTTCTGGAAAACTTTCCCTTCCCCTGTTAGATGCCCCTTCTATATGGCAATCTATTCATAACTTCGACTTTGCACAGTGCTGGGACAGAATAGAAGATCAGAAACCACTTGTATGCATAAATAGCCCTTTTGGCACTGTATCGTAATGGACTGTTTATTTGACTATTTCCCCATAGAAAATTTCTTGAGGGCAGGAACCATTATTTATTCATCTTTTATCTCTAGTGGTGCCAAGGCAACTCTAAATGTTTGTTGACCATATGAATGAATGAATACACAAATGAATTAAAAGGTGATCCCAAATCCCAAAATAATAGAGATAAGCAAAGTTATGAATGGATCAAAACGTTATAGGAGGAGAAACTAGTAAATGCCAGGACTCAGACACGGGCTGGAGAGAAGTAAGAAAGATCCATGTTTAGGATTCTAGGTTTCTGTGGGGAATAAGTAAGAGTGCTATGGGTAAAATTCCTTGGTATTCAGGTTTGGTAGAAGTTGGATGGAAGTGTAATTGTATGAGAACGAACATCCTCGAACAAAGAGAACCTACAGTTGGAAAGTCAGCCCAAATCACAGTTTCAAAGCTACCCAGATGTTCTGCTAACTCTTAAAAAACCCTCCAGTGTATGAGTATTAACTACCTAGAAGAGTAGCTAAGGAAATGTGTTATCCATTAGGGAGTGTTTCAAAGGGAGGACCAAAGAGAAATAATTTGAGCACATCTTTCATTGAGCCACAATTATACCCATATGTTCATAAGTCGTAGAATTGTCCCAGAACAAGATGAACATACCCTCAGATTTTTGTACTTTGTTCTCATTCTGGACATATTGTGTCTTTAGAATTTTCATGTGCAGGACTCTACATTGTAGAAAAGATTATTTTCTGGTGAAGGCATGCCATTAAAAAAACAGGGGAGTCGGCCCAGTGGCTTAGTGGTTAAGTTCATGCACTCTGCTTCAGTGGCCTGGGTTCACAGGTTCAGATCCTGGGTGTGGACTTAGCTCTGCTTGTCAGGCCACACTGTGGTGGCATCCCACATAAAAGGGAGGGAGATTGGCACAGACGTTAGCTCAGCAACAATCTTCCTCAAGCAAAAAGAGAAAGATTGGCAACTGGTGTTAGCTCACAGCCAATCTTCCTCATGACAAAACAAAACAAAACAAAACAGACCAGTCCCTGTCCTCCTAGTGGTTTAAACTGACAATAGACATGGGAAAACAAATAAACAAACAAAGCTGTGTGTGCTGTGATGGAGTAAAGGCAAGCAGAAGCGGAGCATGGATGAGGGCTTCTCATTAAATAGGGCATCAGGGAACACTTCTTGAAGTCCTGGCAATAAAACAACTCTGAAAATTTAAAAAATCAAATAAAGTAAACCAACAAACACACAAAAATCCAAACTAACCAACCAATCAAACAAGAAACCCAAACCTTTTTTAAAAAAAACAAACCTTCAAAATTATCAAACAAGAGACAGGCTTATTTGAAGAAGTCTGAGGAAAATATTTGGATGTAGATTCTTTCTTTCCTTTCTTTTCTTATTACTAACCCCTCCCATCTCTCCTCTATCCTCCTTCTTTTCCTTTCTTACATGTTTTTTCCCTCCTGTCCTCTCAACTTCTGTCTCGCCTCCTCAGTCTTCCTCTCCCCACCTCCCTCCCAGCCCTCTCCAACTCTCCAGTCTCTAATTGCCACCAGGAACTAACATGGGGTAGGGTGGGGGGTGGGGTGGATAAAGGCAGGATTACTCCTGACCAGAGGGTGGGGTGGGTGAGAGGCAAACCCAGAAGCAGGAGCTAACCTCAGCCCCCGAGACCCTGGGATCCAGGTGGGGACAAGAATTATGACCTAGTCGTGGAAGCCAGCCAGTTGCCAGGTTTTCCATCCTCAGATTCAGGGCCCCTGTCACTTGAAAGACAAACAGGTCCAGTGTTTGGACAAGGATGACGCAGACTATTGAAGGTGGGTAGATCCAGGAGAATACCTTCCCACAAATCACCAAGACCCGCTGGAAAAGTCTAGATCCTCCTGGTGTATCCACTGAGCTTCTATTTTTATACATTTACATTTTTACATATTTTATAAAAGTTTTATAAATTTTGGTATTTATGTGTGTTAAATTTTCAGTTTCAGTGATAAAAAAATAAGATGGTTTCTGAATTTAGAAAATAATAAAGTATTTTCACCTAAATAAAGACCAAGATGGCATTGTCATGTGGCTCTCCTATGGTATACCTCTGAAAGTAACTTTGTATACTGGATGTCGGCAGGTCATCCATCATGATGGAGAGAGTTTATGTGTTCTCCATTCTCTCTGAACTCATTTACAGCAGAGTCAAACAGAGGGTAAGAAAGTTGCTTTCTGGATAAATATAAATATAAATAAAAACTACCTGTTGCAGAATACCATAAAGAGGGATATTTTATTTCCCATTTCTCAAATAATTGGGGATTGTTAGTGTAAGGAATATTCTTTGGAAAGCTTTTTGTCTTTTCATATAAATACGGATAATAGTTCAATCCATGAAATGTCTGAATGCCCAAGACAGAATATTTAGGATAAGAAGAGAAGAGTTGTCAAGGTGGGTTCTGATGAGGAACAAGGGAACATAACTAGTAGGCGTAGTCAGGGAGGTAGGAAAGAGCCAATTAATTTTGCCATGTAAATCAGGAAAAAGAGAGTTTTAAGAAAAGTGAATATAATACGTAGTGTCAAATTCTGCATCTTCAGAATATTAAGCCTTGAAATTACCTCTTAAAATTCCCTGCATGGAATTCAAGGAACACGGCTCTCCTGCAGCCTTTAACCCAGTCCTTCCCCTAGTCTAGGTTTTATGTTAGATGGTCAGCCATCCTCTCCTCAAAGTTGCTCTGAATCTCCTCCACGTAAAGATGCTCTTCAGGGCCGTCTGGGTCTCATGTCCAGAAAGCGGGCTGCAGGATCCTTCCGTGGGCTGCACAGGCTGGAGAGGAGAGCAGACAAGAAGAACCAGCGCGCTGCGCCCTTTCCCTTCGGTTTCTTCCCTCTTCTTCACCTACGATCACTCTCCTTTGAGTCTTTGAAGCTCTCTGATGGTTTTCACCATACTACCTTATCTTAAGAAAGATTGTTTTTAAGCTTCACTTTTGGTCTTTATTCTCAGACTGTTTCTTTGTGAGCAACTAATGTAATCACTTTCATATTTCCTGACTCAATCCTGAGAAAAGTCCACTCAAACAACCTGGTTGGTTGGACATGAAAGAAAAGAAATGGGGGTTGACCCTGTGGCCTAGTGATTAAGTTTGGCACACTCTGCTTTGGTGGCCTGGGTTCAGTTCCTGTGCACAGACCTACACCACTCATCAGCAGCATGCTGTGGTTGTGACCCATATACTAAACAGAGGAAGATTGGCACCAATGTTAGCTCAGGGTGGGTCTTCCTCAAGCAAAAAGAAGATTGGCAAGAAATATTAGCTCAGGCAAATCTTCCTCAGAGAAAAAAAACAAAAGAAAGAAAGAAAAAGGAAAGGAAAGTGTCCACTTTTGTGACTAAACTGATTGACATCTTTCTATTGATGATACAAACAGGCAAAACAGACACACTAATGAGAAAAGAAAACCTGTAGGCTCAGGGTGTGTC